TTTTTTTTTTTTTATTAACAAAAATTTTGATTTAAAAACAGAATTAAAAAAAAAAATTTTTTTCTTATCCAATGGTGGTATTATATATAGTCTATTCACTAACGTGCCATCTTTGTCTATATATCAAATAATGCTTCTAACTAAATACAATTGTGAACCAAGGAGGTTACGAATCATGTAAATGTTAGTTTTTTAAGACTAACGAATCACTTTATGAATAATATGCATTATTTAATCAATCCATTGATTCATTTTTATGTGATGGTACCGCTAGATAACGGCCCTTGGTATCTTGACTACTCTTGCTTATTTTATAATAATTATAGCCTGCAATACCAGCGATGGAAACCACAAGTCTAACCAACAAAAAAAAGAAAAGAGAATACAATTAGTCACAGTTGATTAAGAGAAATACCATTTACAATATAAGCATAAAAATATACCCTATTATATTCAGAGGAGTCAACTGATCATGATATATGAGAACAGATAACATGATTACAACAACTTCTTTGCTTATTCCAGCAACTGATAGTGTCACTGTGCTAGTGTTTTTGATTAAAGCGAATTCAGACAATGTCATACAAAAAGCCAAAAGCCCGCCAATTAACATCAAACCAAGTGTTTGAAGGATAGTTTCAGCATCCTTAAAATGTCTTGAATGACCAAATTCGTGAAATGGGTTTTCAAAAATTAAGGAAAGAATCACCATCAAAATAAACATTACTGGAGAAATATAATAAAGAGTAGCAACTGGATGATTCATGCTTTCTTCTTGTTGAAGGAGCATCTGAGTTAGAGACCAACGTAAACCACTAGAAATTGCGGCACCTAATACCAACAAAAAACCTGTAAGATTAAATGCAGTTTCTCCAAATACTGTCATAATCACTCCAATGCTTATGACAGATATTATAAAAACTAGAAGAATACGGGGATTCTCTAATCCAAACACGAAAGCAAACAGGAGTACCCATATGGGTGTCGAAGATTTCACCTTTATATAAAGATAATTTTAAATTATAAATATATATATAAATTTATACAAATTATAAATACGTACCATGGTATAGAAACTCAAGGTAATATACATAAGTGATGCGTTAGCCATACATATTTCGAGTGCAGCGGAAAGAGCACAAGGGACCTAAAAAGTATATATATATTAGGATCAAAAAAAAAATTAAATAAATAAATCTTGAACAAGGTTTTTAACTTACTACTCTTGTAAAATAACTATTTACTGAGACAGATTTTCCCTCCGGTCTCTTATATATAAATGGGAGACTTCCACTCATTAATAATGATGTTATGAAAAAATGTGATCCAGTGTGCATAGCGCTCACAAATAAGGGTAGATCTAAATCAAATTTATCTTTTCCTACTAACGCCTTATTATAAAATGATAAAGCTGTAGAAAAAAAATACCAAGAGATTATATACGAAATATTGCGAAAAGCATTTTGCCAGGTAGCTGAAGGCGATTTGCTTTTCGGGTTTATTTCTGATAAAAAGGTTTGCACAGCATTTGGTGAACGATCTATTCCTGTTGTAGAGTTATCAGGAAGATTTATTATGAGAGTTGAATTGCTTGGAAGTAGTGGGCGCGAAGACTTCGACAAGCGTTCAACACCTGTAATTTGTGATTTTAGATTTTCACCATCCTTCACCGAAGTTAAATGTCGAATCGGTTGTAAAAGAATAGACTCATTGCTCTCCATTTCTGGTTTAAAACGTTTGTTTTTTTATATATATACACCATTGGATAAGAAAAAAATTTTTTTTTTTAATTCTGTTTTTAAATCAAAATTTTTGTTAATAAAAAAAAAAAAA